GTTCGTATTATGAGTGAAGGGGAAAAAAATGGTGTTGAAGGAAATGACAAAACAACCATAAATAGCTAAAGTCAGAGAGAAGAAAAATGCCGAGTTTCGTATAAAATCAGGCGTCATGGAGGTGCTGCGAGTTAAATCTTGAGCTGCTCATCCTGAGATGGGTGGTTCAGGCCACTAGCAGCTCTATGGGCAAAAGAAGACTCTGTCTTCTTCTTCCAAAAAGGTGGCATCTGAGCAACCCAAAGTGGCAGTTCTCCTTGTGCTAGAGGGTTGCTATGAGTCAGAATTTAACCAGGGCAATGAGTTTGGGACTTGGTTTGCTCCTGACTTCTGCCTACAGCCAACAGTTAAGCACTCCCTATTCCTCAAAGTTTGGCAGTTCAAACCCACCCAGCGGTGCCTCTGAAGACAGCCTGCTCTACTGCCTGAAGCTCATCACCATGGAGACCTAAGCAACACACTTCTAATCGCAAAGCCCCTGGGTTTACTATGTGTTGGATTCATCTTGATGGCAACTGATTCATTTTGCACAATTCTAACTAAAATATTGCACGACTAACTGAAAAAGTAAAGTCGAGCGAACTTTCTTCTGTTTGGGTGCTAAAACAATTGTGCCCGGCAAGACATGCTACAAATAAAGGTAGACATTTCCATGGAAATTTTAAGCAAGCATTTCTTCAAAGAGTTATAAGAGGACATGAAGCATAGCTTCACCAGTGTGATCTTCAAGACAAGCACAATCAGAGCAATGCTTACCAAGAAGTAAAAGTGGTTCTGTCAAAGCCAAAAAGGCTGGTCAAGAGCACAGGTCAACACTGTGGGGCTTGCTCAAGGCATCTTGCTTACTGACTTGTGAGATGGCCAAAGGGAAAACCATTTGCCTATTATGAGAGTGTTTGAGAATATTAACCGGAGCTTCAGCAGAAACCCCCTGAGAAAGTGTCACCAGAGACAGTCCGTTTCCACCGACAAGGTGCCTCTCTATTTCTGTCATCAAACAAGGCAATTTTGAGAGAGTTTTTATAGGAAATCAGGAAGCGTCTCTCTGCCACTCCTGATTTTGCTCCTTTGACTCCTTTTTGTGTCTTCTTAAAAAAATAAATCTTTAAAGGGTATTTATTTTCTTTTAACAAAATGAAGAAAGAGAACCTGCCTTGCCATAGCTACATTTCCAGGACCTTCAGTTCTTTAAGGACAGACTAATTGGTTGATAACATCTCTTACACAAGTATTTTGTGCTCGATGAACCTTATATTCAAAAATAGTTTCTGTTTTTTATTTTGTACCTTTTAATGCCATTTCACCACAAACTTTTGAATCCTCGTCATAAGAGAAGTCCCCTTTTTCAAAAGTTTGTGACCCAAATTGTAAACTCTTTTTTTTTTTTTTAATTTTTTTAAAACATTTTATTAGGGGCTCATACAACTGTTATCCCAATCCATACACACATCAATTGTGTAAAGCGCATTTGTACATCGTTTCTCAAAACATTTTCTCTCCATTTAAACCCCCGACATTAGGTCCTCATTTTTCCCCTCCCTCCCCGCTCCCCTCTCCCGCATGAGCCCTTGATAGTTTATAAATGGGTATTTTGTCATATCTTGCCCTGTCCGACGTCTCCCTTCATCCACTTTTCGGTTGTCTGTCCCCCAGGGAGGAGGTCACACACAGTTCCATGTAATCGGTTCCCTCTTTCCTACCCATTTTCCCTTTACCCTCCCTGTTTTGCCACTCATACCACTGGTCCTATAGGGCTCATCCATCCTGGATTCCCTGTATTTTCAGTTCCTATCTGTACCAGTGTATCTCCTCTGGTCTAGCCAGTCTTGCAAGATAGAATTCGAGTCATGGCAGTGGGAGCGGGGAGGAAACCTTTAGGAACTAGAGGAAGGTTGTATTTCTCATCATTGTTACATCGCACCCTGTAAACTCTTAATGAAGGTCATTTTCTCAGTTCTGTTTCTAAAGCCTTTCTAATAAGGAACAAGTGAAAATGTTATGAATGATAAGTGATAGGGTGTGCTAATTAACATTTCAAGATAATGAAATAAAGCTGAGAATGTTCTCTTACATTATTCTACTCCTTTCTCATTCTAACTTTTCCTTTGCCTCATTTATCTTAAGACCTTTGTTATTTTGCATTTGAATTCATGGAAGTAGTGGCATATCTTTCAATAATTAATTACAGTATTTTAATGGGGTTATATCAAAGTTCTTCTTTATTTTCATATGATTCATATTTGATGACTCTTGCAGGCTAAGAACATATCCATCCTTGTTGTGACTTTAGAAATACCATAAGCTTGATAGTGTACATTTCAGAAATTAGATTTTAAAAAACTTATTTTCTATGTTCTTTCAAGTATAGTACACACAGATTTTTATTCGAAATACAAAGCTTTTAAGTGAGGAAATTCTGAAAAGAGTGGCATTTGGTTTAATTTAATATAAAACATGCTGAACACTTGCTTGGGGGTTTTTGTTACAGAAAAAACAAACATTTTTTGAAATCTCTAATTTTGAAAATGTCTGTTCTAAATGTACATCTTCTGTGTCTATTTTTGCTTTAGGAGTGCAAGACCCCCAGCATGAGAGAATTATTACCGTGTCTACTAATGGAAGCATCCATAGTCCCAGGTTCCCTCACACTTATCCCAGGAATACGGTGCTGGTGTGGCGATTAGTAGCCGTAGAAGAGAACGTCTGGATACAGCTAACGTTTGATGAACAGTTTGGGCTTGAAGACCCAGAAGATGACGTGTGCAAGTAAGTTGTTATACTTGAACTTCCAGCAGAGTGTCACAGCTGTTACAGACTTTCTGGCTACTTTGTTGGTGAATTATTTTTGATACCATCTTTTGTTCTAAGAAAGCAGTCCTGGTGGCACAATGTTCAACTGCTCATCTTAAAGGAAGCTGCTGGAACCCACCAGCTACCCTGTGGGCAAAAGATACGGCGGTCTGCTTCTCCAAAGTGTTAGACCCAGGGAAATCCCCTGGGGCAGTTTTTCTCTGCAGTAGGAGTTGGGGAGAACTCTGCAGAAATGGACATCTGTTCTATTAAGTGTTTCTACCTACCTAAAAAATGTACAGCGCTATTGAAACGATGTTTTATTTAGTCAAAGGACATACACAGGTGCATCTATCTATTCCTAACCATAACATAGAGAACGTATGGCACGATAGAGTTCTGTTAGAATTTTGTTACGCAATTTTTATTTGAACTTTCTGACCGCCTAATCATTAAAATAATAAGTTGTTAAAAATAACTATGGTTGTTTATTACACAGAGATACACACACACACACACACACACACACACACAGATACACAGGATTAAGAAGTTTGAATATTTCCTCACAAAGAAGAAATACAGTTCAGAAAGCTCAAATTAGAAATGTAGGCTTCACATGCCTTGGCAAATAGGAATTCGTCACAATTCTCCAAGTTAGCTGGAGTTTTTCACCCCCACAAAAAGACCACCTACTGGATGACATGCAAATATTACTCTTTAAATCCCATGTGAATGCACTTGTCAAGGTCGGGTGGTCTTCCTGAATATTTTTCAGTTCAATGGCATTTGTATATGATCAAAATATTTCACTTGAGCACCATTGCAGGGTTCTTTATTTTCTTTGTATATACAGTGCTGAGAGGGAATTTTTATTTTATGGTACATTATAAATAAATATTTCAATACAGATGAAGTAAACTTTGCACTTGCAGTCATCACAATTTGTATCTTTACAAATGGTTATATTTTTGTCGCATTCCTTCTTCCAGTGACTATGCATTTCCCTGGTTTTCTTTATCTTCTTTCAGAACCGGATGCTATTCTAGTGATCTCGAGACTGCATTCTTTAACCTTTCATTGTGTAGATAAGGAACCTAGGACCAGAGACATGAAATAGCTACCCTGTCTTTCATTCTGGTTTTGTGCCACAACAAATAGTAAAATGGATTTCCTCTAATATCTATGTAGTTCATATTTTTGCCATGTTCACCTGCACCTCATGTTCATCTCTCCCCTATTTGCACGTAGCCTGTGGGGCAACCGCAGGTAACGTGAATGCTAACAAAAGCGACACCTGAGTCAGAGTGAGTTATGCTAGTGTTTGCAGTAGATAGAATATTAGCATTTCTTGTGCTTGTTCCTCAATTCCCATAAGTCAAGGCCTAGGAGGCCTAGAGGGCTTATGTAGTTAGTTGTGTTATATTATAGATGTAGGTATGTAGGTATATGTAGGTATATTTAGGTGTGTGTATATATATATATATGTATGTAGGTATATAAGAAGCCCTGGTGATATAGTGGACTTCATGATGTGCCCCATCGTTCTCCCAAGGAGCACAGATGCTGGCCTGGAATTAAGCAGCCCCATGTAGAACTACTAGGGTTTGACCTATTTACAGCTCTCCCAAAACGTGTGTAAACATTTCAATGGCATTACTTTCTCAACAACCTTTAAGTTAGCCATTCCTTTTATTTTTCGTAGTATAACTCGCATCATTACTAACTGCCAAATGATCTTATTGCATACTTGCCAAACAACCGAGAGGCCTGGTGCAGGAAGGGACACAACCTGAGACCTCGTAGTCAGCATTGCTCGCGTCTCAGACCTCGGTGCTTGTTACTGTCAAACACTTGCTGTTGATACACAAAATGATCAGACAGTAGTACATTTTTTTTATTCTTGTAGTAAATATAACGTGTCATGATGAGATTATTGATAAGTGAGGAATAGCTGTATAAGTATAAAACTGTACCTTTTATTTTTGTTTGGCTTTTCCTGATGACCCCTTCACATTTCCACTTCCGTGAAATGTCTGCGACTGCCCTTTGCCAAGTTTTTCTTGGGCTGTTTGTTTATTTAAAAGTTACTTTTCATGCATGTCTTTAAGTCCTTGATCCACCTGGAATTTATTTTTTTCTCTGGCACGAAAACCTTCATTTTCTTCAATAGTGTATAAAGTTGTATGGTTGATAGGTCAGATTTGTGTATATGGTCTGGTCTGGGTTTCATTCCCTGATCTGTTCCTTTGATTAGCTGTCTTTCTCTAATCATCAGAATGGCCCTGTCTTTATTACTGGAAGCTCAGTATAGAAGCCTCATCTCATTTTGTTCTCCTTTCAGAATATCTTCACTTTTATGCATTTTACAACATGAGAAATGATCAGTATCCTTGAAAAATGATCATGTAGTTTTTACTGCAATAGCATTTAATCTGTGGATCACTTACAGGAGAATTGGCATTTTTATGATATTGAGTCTTCCTATCCCTGAGTTGGTTGTTTCACCATATATTTGGGCCTTCTTGAATGTATGCACAGTTTTAGATTTTTCTGAATTTCCTAGATTTCTATTATTTAATTTTTTCCCCTTAATGAACCTTATTATTAAGATGCCCTTTTGGAAATTAAATTTTCTTACCAAATATTGCTGATGTCTCAAGCCTAATTGATATTTAAATATTGATCTTATAGGAGACAAACCTGTAAGCTCTTTTATTAATTTTAATAGCCTTATTGGAATAACTTCAAATTTCCAGAGGATTGCAAATAAGGAATACAGAGTTTTGTTAGACTTTTTACCTAGTTATTTCTAATGTTAACATTTTATATAGCCATTGTCGTATTTGCCAAAACTAAAAAAATTAAACACTGATGCAAAAATATTAACTAACATACAGAATTTATTTGGATATCAGTAATTCTTCCAAAATTTTCTTTATCTATACCCGATGCTTTCTAGGATAACTATGTTGCCTTTAGTTATCATGCCTTCTTAGATTCCGGACTCTGTGGCTGTTTATCTTTCCTTGAAACTCATGACCTTTAGGGTTTTCAGCACTATTGGTCATGTATTCTTTTTGTTCCTCAATTTGGTGTTTTTTTTCTTTCGGATGATTTCTCATGGTGAGGCTGAGTTTGCAGATTTTAAGGAAGAACTTAAACGACATTATATGTCCTTTTCATATCGTATCAGGAGATTCATACCCCATGACTGTCAGTTTCTTAAACTTTGGTGGCTTATGTGTGGCTGTGATGCTGGAAGTTAAACTACATCTATTTCAAATACCAGCAGGGTCTCCCTAACTGGACAGATTTCAGCAGGGTTTTAATAGGTCGTCCTTAGATATTTATGTTAGTTCCAATTTGGCTTAACCTTCCCCACCCCCCCTCCCCCAATTGTGAAAATCTTTAAAGGCAAAATGAGCTAATACCAAGGGCTCAAGTGGAAAGAAAATGTTTTGAAAATGATGATGGTGCTATATGTACAAATGTGCCTGACACAATGGATGGATGGATGGATTGTGATAAGAGCTGTATAAGCCCCTAACAAAATGATTTAAATTTTAAAAAATCTTTAAAGGTCACCCATTTTTATTCAGTTACTAATTTAAGAAGAAGAAGAAGAAGAAGAGAACAACAATACTGACAACTCCGTTGGCATGGCTAAGTTCCCAGGACCCTGCGTTACTTAGGGATGGTCTAAGGAACGTGTTCCATCACTTTAAAAACTGTCTTGCCTTAATGGAGCTTATATGAGAAAATAGCAGTTATATTTTTATCTTTTAATTCCATTTTTCCACAAAAAGATTTGTGGGAAAATATATATATTTTTCTACTGGCACTTTTGCACCAATCCTGTTGCATATTTATCTATAGTCACGTCTGCACATACCGCTACTTGAGTAACTGCTTTTTTAAAAAAATATTTTTATTAGGGGCTTACACAACTCTTATCAAATCCATACATAGATCAATTGTGTCAAGCACATTTGCACATTCATTGCCCTCCTCATTCTCAAAACATTTCCTCTCCACCTAAGCCCCTGGCATCAGCTCTTCATTTTCCCCCTCCCTCCCCGCTTTCCCCTCCCTCATGAGCCCGTAATAATTCATAAATTATTATTTTGTCATATCTTACACTGTCCTACATCTCTCTTCACCCACTTTTCTGTTGTCTGTCCCCCAGGGAGGAGGTCACATGTAGATCCTTGTAATCGGTTCCCCCTTTCCAACCCACCTTCCCTCTACCCTCCAAGTATCTCCACTCACACCACTGGTCCTGAAGAGATCATCCACCCTGGGTTCCCTGTGTTTCCAGTTCCTATCTGTACCAGTGTACATCCTCTGGTCTAGCCAGACTTGCAAGGTAGAATTCGGATCATGATAGTGGGTGGAGGGGGGGCGGGGAGAGGAAGCATTTAGGAACTAGAGGAAAGTTGTATTTTTCATCATTGCTACATCGCACCCTGACTGGCTCGTCTCCTCCCCGAGACCCCTCTGCAAGGGGATTTCCAGTGGCCTACAAATGGGCTTTGGGGCTCCACTCCGCACTCCCTCCCCTCATTCACTATGGTAAGATTTTTTGTTCTGATGATGCCTGATACCTGATCCAACCTTACTGTTACTACAATTCCTCCATCTCTACCAGGTTTGGTCACAGAGCCATTTTTGATTCATGTTTTGGTGGACGAATGTTCCCAAATCTAAAAATTTACACGTGTCAATTATTTCTGCCATGATACCTTTTATGAGAATAAATGTCCTCTCAGGCTTACTTAGGAACCTCTTGGTCTGCTAACCGCAAGGTCAGCAATTCAAAACCACCAGCTACTATGCAGCAGAAAGGTGAGACTTTCTGTTCCAGTACCGGTTACAGCCTTGGACATCCATTGGGCACTTCTACTGCTTCCTATAGGGTCAGTATATATCAGAGTGGACTCAATAGCAGTGAGTTTGAGTACCTTTCTCATACA